ACAAAAACTAACTCTTTCATTTGTTCATAATCAAATGAGCGCACTGCCTGAACCACTCCTGTTTCTACATTTACAGAAACATATTCAGAAACTCGAGATCCAGCGATGTTACTGTCCTCTAATATATAAGATATTCTCGCGTTTTGGTTTTCATCTGGATCTTCAGATTTTATTGTAAGAACAGAAAAACCTGGAGAGTTATTCTCTGCTAGAAACGCTCTGTAAACAGTTTGTGGAAAAATCGGAGCGTTATCATTCACATCAGACACCTTTAAATTAAAGGTTCTTTCAGCTGAGAGAGGAGGGAATCCACCATCTGTAGCAACAACAGTGATGTTATATTCTGAAACACTTTCACGGTCTAACACAGAATCTGTCACTAAAGTATAATAATTTCTTAAACTGGATTTGACCTTGAAAGGTGCGTTTTGTTTTATTTTACAGCTAACTTGTCCGTTCTCACCTGAATCCAGGTCTTTGACATTAATAATGCCAATAGTTGTACCAGGAGGAGAGTCCTCTGATACAGGACTAGTGAATGACGTCACACTGACGACAGGAGAGTTATCATTCACGTCAATTACTTCAATAATAACTTTACTGGAATCAGTTAAACCTCCTTGGTCTTTTGCATGGATCTGGAGTTCGAATCTTTTGTCTTTTTCAAAATCTAAAAAACCTGAGGTTGAAATAACACCACTTTTTGTATTAATCATAAATAAGTTAAGAAGTGCACGGTGGAGATCTGAGAAATAATATGTCACAATGCTGTTTGATCCAGAATCTGCATCAGTGGCATTAACAGTGGTAATATATGTATTTTGAGGCGCATTTTCTGTGACTGTAGCTTTATAAACAGACTGGTTAAACACAGGCGCATTATCATTAGCATCCAGAACAGTGACGTCAATATTCACCGTACCAGACCTCTGCGGAGTCCCTCCGTCCACAGCTATCAGCTTTAAAGACAGATGAGGGTTTGTCTCTCTGTCTAAAGCCTTCTGGAGAACCATCTCTGCGTATTTTTTACCATCTGCATTTGMATGTTGTTTAAGAACAAAATGATCATTCTCCGTCAGGAAATATTCTCTCAGCCCGTTCACACCCACATCTAAATCTTCCGCTGTTACTAGAGGAAATCGGGCTCCTGTTGTAGCTGTTTCACTTATTTCAAAATTAATATTTTCTTTATTAAACGTTGGGGAATGGTCATTAATGTCTGTAATCTCGACTGTAATTTGATGCAGTTCCATGGGATTTTCTAAAATCATCTCGAAGCTGAAACTACAAGGTGTTGTGTCGCCGCAAAGCTGCTCCCGGTCGATTCTCTCCTTCACCTCTAAAATCCCTTTGTCTGCTTTCAGCTCGGTGTACTGGATGTTTTCTCCCGTCACGATGCGGGCCCGACCAGAACGGAGCCTTTTCAGATCCAGGCCTAGGTCCTGCGCCACATTACCAATCAGAGAACCTTTCTTCATCTCCTCAGGGACTGAATATCTGATGTGTCCAGAGACGAAACGGCAGGAAGAACAAAGAAAAACAATAAGCAGCAAAATCTGTCCGCAGCCGAAACGCCATTTTATCCCTCCGGAGTAGTATCTGGGTCCACACGACATGATCTGACAAATATTTTGCCTACAGAATACTGTATTATAAAATGTTCTGACAATTTTATTTAAAAAATATATAGATTCCACAAAAAAATTAGGGATCTTGTTTTTGTTCCAGCTAATCGCTTTGGTGTCAGTTCCTTCTGCGCACAGATGAAGCAAAGCTGCCTTTCTTTTACTGACAAACCATAAAAGGAGGGGTAAGAGTGGTGATGTGTCTGAATATATTTGTGTTAACCAACAGCGTCCCTTAGAGTCCAGATATGGGAACATAAATGCACAGTTGCATTAATGCAAAATTAAGTTATTCAGTTCAATTTTATGTAATCTAAAGATGATTGAAAGTGTTAACAAACCTATTTTAAAGATTCCAAAATAGTTCCTATTTTGTTTCAAATATGTAATACCATTTATATTTTTAGTAATGTATTCATTCATTTTCTAAAAAAGGTAAAGTGATGGTTTTCTTAAAGGGTAACAGTGTGGTGGCATTGAAAATAAAAGTAAATCTGTGTTGTTGACAAATTAGGAAGCTATGTAAAAATTCTTAATTAATTAAACACAAAACTTACACACAAAATGTCCGAGCACAAAGTCTCTTTAATTTGTTGGATGAAAAAAAATGTTAATGGATATTTTTACTTGAGGAAATCAGTACTTGAAGGTAAACACAACCAAATAATAATGGCCTTGAAAGCGTTAGTTGTAGAATAAATAAAATGCAAAAAAAAAAAAAAACTGCTAAAATAAAAGCTGAAAAATGTTGCAAGTTACTGAAATGACGTCACCACAAATGCAGGTTCATAGAGMACTATATTTCTACTGACCATCTTTAAAAATGCAATGATCACATGAAATCCATGAAGATACTTCCTACCTCTGTACAAAAACTCACAAGCACCAATAAAGTTAAACTTTGTTCTATAGTAAAAGAACCAACAACCAACGTATATGACAACGTTTATGATCCATACCAGAGAATTAGAAAACAAAATAAAGATGATACTTATGGAAATTTCTGAAACAGACAATTAATACTTTAAATATGCAGAGCTTTTAGAAAACTGTGAAAAGGTGATGTCTGTGGTGCTGAAACAAATTCCAAAGCATATAGAAGCACATAAAAATAAATAACACAAGAGCAGCAAAAATTATAATCTAAAATCTACAAGAGAATCAGGTTGGTCCAGGATGTTTTTGTCAAGGAAACATTATCACACAGACAACTTTCAATCTGGAGAATGTTTAACAAACGTGAAAACGTGCTGTTCATGGTGTGGAAATGAACACCAAGAAATGAAGAACAACAATTTTAAAGAACAACAACAACAAAAAGAGCAGGTGTAGCGAAAGGGCCACCATCTCCAACTTTAATCACTGACCAATAAATACTGTCTGACCATCCTAAATGTATTGATAATGGAAATGTTTGAAATAGGAAACACTATGTTTAAATGGTAAATAATTGCTTATGTATTAAGACTATAATCTAAAGCACAAGTTTACATCTATGCACAACTAAATTGTTAAAAATGAATAAACAAAATCCATGCCAGTAATTGATATAGAAACACTGTAGTACAGATAATAGTTGTTCATCTATTAGGAGCTTTATTTAGCAATGCCTGAAAACTCACTGTCCATGGTGCTGAAACAAAAACCCAAAGCACACAAACAGAAAGTCTTCCAAACAAGACAAAAAAAAAAAAAAAAAAAAAAAAAAAAATAGGTAATGCAGCTAAAGTTAAAAACTAACCTCTACAGGAGAGTCAGGCTGATCCAGGAGGTTCTTGTCACTCTGGATTCTCTGCATGGTTCCTGTAGAACTGGGATTCATTATCAACACGTTCTGACTCGCAGCTACCCCGAATTTACAGTCACTCTTTCTGGAGTCAGTCGTCCTGCACACCTCGTAATTGTACACATGTTGGAGAGTCCCTGTCCCCAAAGTGTCTGAGTAACGTGGTGGATAATATGGAATGACAGGGAGGTTGGAGTGATAMAGGATGCGAGACTGTCTCCATCTGTAGATTTTGACTGAGATAATAACCACTAAACAGGTGATGAAGAGGAAGGACACCACAGCCAGAGCCAACACTAAGTAAAAAGTCAGCGTGTCATTGTACTCCTTGTCGTGTGGAGAGTCAGTGAAGTCCACAAGCACTTCCGGGAAGCTGTCCGCCACCGCCACGTTAACAATGACTGTAGCTGAACGAGACGGCTGCCCGTTGTCCTCCACTATAACAGTCAGTCTTTGTTTCACAGCATCTTTATCAGTCACCTGACGGAGAGTTCGGATTTCTCCATTCTGTAAGCCCACTTCAAACAGCGCCCTGTCTGTGGATTTCTGCAGTTTATAGGAGAGCCAGGCGTTCTGTCCAGAGTCCACATCAACAGCCACCACTTTAGTCACCAGATAGCCCACATCTGCTGAACGAGGCACCATCTCAGCCACCACAGAGCCCCCGGTCTGCACCGGGTACAGAACCTGAGGAGGGTTATCGTTCTGGTCCTGGATCAGGATTTTCACTGTTACGTTGCTGCTGAGTGGAGGAGAGCCTCCATCCTGAGCTTTGACAACAAAAACTAACTCTTTAATTTGTTCATAATCAAAAGAGCGCACTGCCTGGACCACTCCTGTTTCTACATTTACAGAAACATATTCAGACATCGGGGATCCTCCTACGTCATTTCCGTCCAGCAGGTATGATATACGTGCATTTTGGTTTGCATCTGGATCTGTCGCTTTTACTGTCAGCARATTAATTCCCGGTGAATTATTTTCAACAATAAAAGCGTCATACGGATTTTTCTCAAATACTGGAGCGTTATCATTCACATCAGAGATCTTTAAAGTAAATTTCTTCTTCGCTGAGTGAGGAGGGACTCCATTATCTGAAGCAACAACAGTAATGTTATATTCTGAAACACTTTCACGGTCTAACACAGAATCCGTCACTAAAGTATAATAATTTCTTAAATTAGACTTAATCTTAAAAGGCGACTCTTCCTCTATTCTGCATGTTACAAATCCATTTTCTCCAGAGTCAAGGTCCTTCACGTTAATAATGCCTATAGTTGTATCAGGAGGGGAGTCTTCTGACAGAGGACTAGTGAATGACATCACATTAATAAGTGGTGCGTTATCGTTTGCGTCAATCACTTCAACAATGACTTTACTAGAGTCTGTTAAAGCTCCTTGATCTGTTGCCTCAATTCTAATTTCATATTTCTTTGAATGCTCATAGTCAACCTGTCCAGAGAGGAAAATCGCGCCTGTTGTTTTATTTATTTCAAAAACATTGTTAATGTTGCCTTGCATTTTTGAAATATAATAATAAATCAGACCATTGGAACCAGTGTCTGCATCAGACGCATTCACTGTGACGATGTGCGTGCCTCTTTCCGCATTTTCAATGACACTGGATTTATAAATAGACTGATTGAAAACTGGAGGATTATCATTTGCATCTAGAACTGTTATATCAATATTTACAATACCAGATTTCTGTGGAGATCCACCGTCCACGGCTATCAGCTTTAAGGATAAACTTGGGTTTAGCTCTCTGTCTAAAGGCTTTTCAAGCACCATCTCGGCGTATTTGCGTCCTTCCGTATTTGAATGTTTTTTTAATATGAAATTTTCATTTGGAGATAAATCGTAGTCCTGAAGCCCGTTCACTCCGACATCAGGGTCGTTAGCTGTTGGCAAAACAAAACGTGCTCCGGGTGCGGCTGACTCTCCGATCGTTAGTTTCATATCGTGCTGATGGAAAGACGGCGAATTATCATTAATGTCCAAAACCTCCACCGTGATGTGATGAAGCTCCATGGGGCTTTCTAAAATCAAATCAAAACTGAAGCTACAAGGCGTCACTTCTCCACAAAGCTGCTCCCGGTCGATTCTCTCCTTCACCACTAAAATCCCTTTGTCTRCCTTCARCTCGGTGTACTGGATGTTTTCTCCCGTCACGATGCGGGCCCGACCAGAACGGAGCCTCTGCGTATCTATTCCGAGGTCCAGCGCGACATTACCGATGTTAGATCCTTTCTTCATTTCCTCTGGGACTGAGTAGCGTATTTGACAGCCGACATTGTGGCTCAGAAAAAGGAGGACAATAATCGTTCGAAACCTCAGCTTGGTGCAGAATAGCCATCTTAAAATCCCGTAATTTTTTATGTAGAGATCCATTGTTAGAAAGGTTTCCTACAAAATATAAGACCTTAAAAAATCCTGTCCTCAGAAATTGTTGTTGTAGCAGACTGAAATGAATCAAAGCGAAGCCAGAGTGTTTGCGTCCTGCTTCATCAAGCACAACCAGTCTCTACTGAAAAGAAAAAAAAAGAAGCGCATCCTAAAACATTCAGTTCATGTTCACTATGTCTTAACCAACAGCGTCCCTTACAGTCTAGATAAAATATTTCAACGCCACAACTTTATAGTACTAAATAATATCCACAGAATCTGCATATATACAAAAACATTATTAGCTTCCAGTTAAAATTATACATTTAGGTTAAATAAATGAATTAATTAATTCATAAATAAATAAATAAATAAATAATATGGTTGACGGTAGTGCAATATGGAGAGATGTTTCATTCAAAATGCAATAAATAAATAATGAAATAAATAAATCGGCCTCTCCATAGTGTAAAACTCAAAAGCTAGAAAAATATGATCTTATTTCACCTGATCTAAATGTGAAATGTTTTGGCCCTTAACCCCAAACAAGTTGATAATGCAAAATTAATACAACAAGATAATATACCAATATATCAATAGCAATTTTGTTTTAAAAATATAACAAATTAATTTAGAACCTTTAAAACAAATGTGTGTAAAATTTTTGAGGCTTTGTAACAGCAACATCTGAAAAACAATGCAAGAGTTTTGCTAAATCATTCATAAAAATAATCTTAAAATGCAAAAGT